AGTTCACATAAAGAGCAACGCCTCCTCCCTTCACCATCCGTAATGTCCTGAGATAGCCACATTTTAACGTATCCGAGTATATCGGGATGACACCCAGCTACAAGCAGACTTAACTCGTACACCTTGTTAGTTAGGCTGTGCGCATTACATTGCACTATCTGAAGGTATTCCGCAGGCCCAGACTAGGGTCGTGCGCTACCGATATGGGCAGTGGTAGGGCGGAGAAGGACCGCCGGCTGACCACCCGAAAACCCACAAACCGGAGAACTAGTTAATGGGCCGCTCGCCTGCTTTTGAGGTTCATGATAGCCTCTCGGCAAGCGTAGTGTCTGGTTGAACACTAATATTTGTGCATTTTAACTTAAAAGCAAACCGCACGAGAGCTTTGCGTTCCTCCGGGGTAGAGAGTGCAACACGAAGTAGCCGCGGTAGAGCCTTTCGGACGTTCTCCAGTCCAAGCAGCTTCTTGACAGCAACGCCAGTAAAACCAGACCGAAGCATTTTCGTTACGCGCATTTTAAACCATTGTAGGCCTTCCAACGTGCGAGCAGCAGGAAGTACAGCAGAAGATTCAGCCGCGTTACGGAATATAACGCTACTTTCCGTGAAAGAATCACCACGATGGGGTGTATTAACCCCACCAACTCCTGCTTCAATGACCCGCTGAAGTAGGCACACCCACGGGATAATCCTATCGTTTCAGTCCCGCTTGAACTTGAACTTGAATGCGAAGTAGTCCACCATGGCTGCTGTAACCAGAAGCGGCTGCTTTTTAACCTCATCTTTTATAGATCGGCCCATTTGTCTAACATCTGTCGTCTGTAAGGTTATGGAGAGGATTCTTAAGCGAGCTCTCAACCTGCACTTCCAGAACCTCAAGATCATTTCAATGGCGCAGCATGGGTTTTGTCCTTCGCGTTCATGTGTCACCAATCTTCTGGTAGCTCGAGAAAAGTGAGCTAAATCCATGGATGCTGGTAAGCTGCTAGAAGTCGTATTTGTGGATTTTAGTAAAGCTTTTGACAAGGTTCCACACGAAATTTTGCTTAGCAAACTTCGCAGTATTGGTGCTTCAGGAAAATACCTCTCATGGCTCACTGATTTCCCGCATGACCGCGCTTTCCGTGTGCAAGTAAATGAGGCCTTTTCCTTCCCTGTAAATATGACCAGCGGTGTTCCGCAAGGCTCTGTTCTTGGCCCCGAACTTTTTAAAGTCTTTATTAATGAACTGGCGTCTGTACTACGGGCAGATTGTTTGATTTACGCAGATGGTTTAAAGATATGGATGGAAGTCTCCTGTCTAGATGAAGCGGATTTACTACAAACAAGGCTCGATTCGCTGCACGATTGGTCGAGCAGGTGTCAATTACCCATAAATCACGATAAATGTTCCGTTCTTCCGATCGCTGCCTCTGAATCATTTGGAATTTATCAAATCGTTGGGTTTTGCTGCCAAGCTCTAATTGTGAGAGGGACCTCGGCGTCATTGTGACCCCAGACCTAAAATCGACTGAAGATACCTTGAGGAAAGTCGCTTCTGCCAACAGGTTGCTTTTCGCTATTCTACGATCCTTCTCTCGCTTGACTCCGGAGATCTTCAGTCTCCTGTTCACTTCTCATGTACGTCCGATTCTTGAGTATGGACTGCCCGCTGTTTATCCTCTTTCCAAATTTGAATGCAACTTGATTGAAAAAGTTCAGCGGAGAGGATCTAAATCCGTTCTGGAATTACGAAACCTGCCTTACTCGCATCGTCTCCAGTGCCTGAACTTGTTCTCCCTAGCCTACCGTCGAGATCGCGGGGATTTGATTTCCACACAGCGTATCGTTAGAGGGGAACTTGGAGCTGAATTGCAGAATTTCTTTCCACTCAATGCTTTCAGTTCGACTCGGGGTCACCATTGGAAATTGTGTAAACAAAGGAGACTTCGGGTCCGTTGTGATGTCACTCTGTCTACCAGAGTAGTGAACGAATGGAATAATCTACCTGTGTGTGTTGTTGATGCGCAGTCGGAGGAATGTTTCAAACATCAATTCACTGGGTATCTGCGTTTTTGCAGGGAAGAGAGCAGTGTGCACGTGTGGGTCGCAGCTTGTCCTTTAAGCAAGCGGTCCTTAGCGGTGTCCCACAGGGCTCGGTCCTTGGACCGATGCTGTTCTCCATCTACCTAAACGATCTCCCTGGAGAGCTTGGGGTATCATCCTTATTGTTTGCTGATGACCTTAAGCGATGGAATGTTGTAAATATTCCTGGGGGTTCTGAGGCCATACAGCGTGCACTGGACAGACTCTGGGACTGGTCTACTTTGTGACTACTGCCCATAAATCAGGCTAAGTGTTCCGTCCTTCGTATAGGAGCAATGTTCCCGCCTTCGAGCTACGTACTCGGTGGGGTCGAACACCCCCTTGTCTCCAACTAGATAGATCTAGGTGTCGTTCATTCCTCGTCTTTGCATTCTGGTGACAACTGGAAGAAGGCCGCTAGTAGGGGTTTCAGAATGTTACGGTTAATACGCCGTTCTTTCGGGGTCTTAACTGCCGACATATTTGTGAAGCTATTCTCAGCTTTCGTTCGGCCCCATCTGGAATACTGCGTCCAGGCTTGCGCGCCCTGCCTTGTTCGGGACAAAATGGAGCTTGAGAGCGTTTTGAGAGTAGGTACCAAATTGGTCGAGGGGTTACGGGGGCAATCGTACCCCGAGCGTCTACTTAGCTTGAGTATGTATTCAATGCACTACCGACGGCTTCGAGGGGACCTAATCCTTACTTACCGCATTTTAACAGGGAAGGTTGTGCCGGACTTGCGCTGGCTATTTAGCCCGGCTAGGTTGCCTTGTCTTCGCGGTCATCCCATGAAGCTACACAAGCCGCGTTCTGACGGGATCAGGGCGGAAACTCGGTTATCGCGTAGAGTTATCGAGCGCTGGAACTCGCTTCCAGAAAATGTAGTCAGTGAACCTACGGTTAAGGGTTTCGAGCGTCAGTTAGACGCTCTTGGGTGGCAACACGAAACCTTTCCCTTCTCCTGACCATTTCCATCTTCAAACTTCCAGTTCTTATTCTGTCATTATCTTCACTCTTTGGTGTTATCCTTCATTTTAATGACTTCCATTCCCCTTTATCTTCCATTTACTTTCTACTTCTTTCTTACTTCACGTAACCTACACAGCGCGGACTGCTAGTGCAGGGAACGTGGGCAGTAGTTGGTTGATCAGGGTGTGTTTCAGGTGTTTCGTTTTGGATCTATCAAGAACTAACACCTTATCATTCCCTGGCTCAACGATTTGCTCAAGAAGGAACACTCAAGGGATTTTCCTATCGTTCCAGTCCATCTGAATCTGAATCTGAATCAATTGGATTCTTACCTGTTGAGTAAACTCGGATCTTGTTGCTTCTTGTGTCAATGCAGCGGTTCCATTGGAACCGACTTGCAATGTCCACCTTGATCCCTGTGACGAACGGGAGGCGATGGAGCTGACAAAGGATTTTTCCTTCTGCTCTCTACATTCCAATGTTCCAATGTTCCATGATTAGTTACGGCGCTGCACATAAACCACTGCACCAAGGATTTTTTGAGACTTTCATTGTCTTTATTGTCTCTTTCTATATAAAATCGGCTTATGCACATAACTACACTCAATTTTTATTATTCAGCTAAATTCCTTGTGTACCGCAGCTGCACAACCTCAGTTCGTTTGTCCGCTGTATGCGCACCCGACGGTCTACAAAAATACCGGTTGAACGCGTTTTGAGGTGTCTCCGTAGCAACTATATAGAACGTTGCCATTTTTGTTCCTTGTTTTATTTTATGTCATCCTCGCTTTTGTATTTTATTTCCAAGGTTCTTAGAGCAGTTTGTTTTGACAAATGTCATGCTCCACATCTATCGTGTGGGTGTTTCGGCTGCATTATTGCAGCCTGATAGCATCTAAAGGATCAAAACACATATGGGTTATTACTTCGTGCGGTTATTGTGTCCGTATTTTATGTGTTACTAAACGACCATGTATGTGATTTTACACAGATCATAAGTGCTTTTAGTCTGCTGATAGTGAAGTCATGATAATCTTGTTATCCTAATAAACTGATTCGAGTCTGGTAAGGCCCGGTTCTCCACGGCTGCGTAAATGGGATGCAGCACTCAACGAAGTTTTGGTCAGACGCATCTTACTGTTCTATTTCTTACGTACCGTATATTGACCGGCAAGATTGTGCCTGATCTAACTAAACCGTTGCATCCGGCTCAGATACCATCTCTTCGTGATCACCCTCTGGAGCTGCATAAGCCCAGATCTGATCGCGTTAGGGCTGACTTTCGTTTATCACGCGGGGTCCTCGACCCATGGAACGCACTATCCAGCGAAGTAGCATTAGCACCAACGGTGAAGGAGTTCGAACTTCGACTCGACACCCTTGGGTTGCAGTTTCAGACCTTTCCGCTCGGTTCCAAACTTCTACATCCATTTCCTTGACTTCTGACATCTATTGCTATTATTCTCTTAGCCACACATTCTCTGGTGTATTCCAATTATCATTATTTCGTTTTTGTCTCCCTTCTCTTAGCCTTTATTATTCAGGTGGCCGGTACAGCGGGGACTGCTAGTGCAGGCCGCGTGGGCATTGATTAGTTGACCGTGATGTGGTTCGTGTTTAATGATTTGGCTCTTCTAGGTTTCAAATCGCTCCCGCGAAATCCATCCTGGTTCAACGACGCATTAAAAAAGGAAAACATGGGAGTTTTCCCACTTTTCCTGTCCAAATTGAACTTGAACTTACTACCCTAGCAGCACGCATCGTGCTCGTAAAAGCTATTCGCATGCCTATAAGTTGTTTTATTAATACTAATCCACCCACAAATTGTTTTTTTTTACACTTCAGCTCTGTAGGTCTACTGCAACCAGCGTAACTGTTGGACACAGGTGCCCTCGAATTCCCCAGCCGGTTCCATACTGCTGTTATCCTCCGTTCTCCGATCGCGCGAAGTTTATACTGCCACCTTTATGATGCCAAGACGTGACTTCAATCGGTTTAAGCACAGATTCAACAAGTGGCACAAGCGTGAGTTCTATCAAGTTCCCACAACATTCTTGGCTCAAACTACATTTTGTTCTTATATGCTAATTTACCTGCCAAGCCCACTAGAATTGCGGCCGAAGATTAGGCTTCTTCGCGTGTTTGTTTTGGCCGTTTGCTCCCTGGATTCTCATTATTAGAGGCGCTGTGGTGTTGCCTGATGAAAAGCTTGTTGGTGTTGATTATGCGGACAATACAGTCGTGGTATTTATCGATGTTGGCATAGCCCAGTTAACCTTGGATAACCTCTCTGGAATGTTCCTATCGTTTAGCGTATACTTCACACTTTCAGATGTTACAAGACAACCAGCCACTTGATGAACTTTCAACTTGATGAGGAAGTGCTCGAGTTAGTTGATAAATTCACTTACCTTGACACATACATACTCAACAAAAGGCGCATAACCACTGAATTAAATTCATGCATTGCATGGGCTAAAACTACTTTCTTGGATTTGTGACATCTGTGGCGTCAAAAATAGGTTTCTCTCGGTCTGAAAGACTTTACGTGGCAACGCTGAGAGCCGCACGCACTATAGTTGTGAGTCTTGGACCGTTCGATCGGAGGCACTTACAGTTTTGTTCATCGCTGTCTGCGAAACTTTGCAGATGATAGGTACCAGGTTACCCTTAACTGTGAGCGAGCGCTAGACAGTAATAGACTAGTTCCTTTGAACAACAGATAGCAATAAGTTGCGTTGGTTTGGACACACTACTACGCATATGCGGTCACTGTTTACCGAGGATAACTTAGTTTCGTTTGCCTGATGTCAGTATATATCCTTGTACACGTTAGCGGTGGAAAACAGCTTAACTATTGTACCGCAATATATAAGGAAAGAAAATTGTGCGACAAAGGCACGCCAGCGGAGCCACCAGTAACCGGTGGGCATCGTCCCAGTGAGATAACAGCCGGCTATTGTGACGCTAAAGAAAATTATAATATACCTAAGAAATGAGATCGTGGTTGGTGGGGGAGCTTGCGCGGGATGGGAGGGACAATGGAACAACGCAAACTCCACAGAGATCGATTCCCAGCCATGTCAATAAATGTATCCAGCCAGACGTGTTCATCATCGTTCGGGCCCCAGCCAGATAGCCGAGAGGCTCTAACCGAAGCCAAATTCGGACTAGGGTCATTAATTCTATTGGCGAAGTCATCACTTGGCTTCCCCCTTCTCCCATATACCCCCCTCCGCGACACTAACGCACGTCGCGGGAGCCGCTAGGATGGCATTCACAAGGCAAGGCCCAGCCATCGTTGCCTGAGATAGAGTGGCGCAAGACTATATGTGAGCAAAAATTAACCACCTCCAGAAATGTAGTCATGAACTAAAGAACTATGGGCCGTTGGTCCGTCTCGTCTTCCAGACTGAAGTGCGTGACCCGCCTAGTGTTTAGCTTAAGAACTTACAAGACCATGCTTACAGTAGGCACCAGGGGCGCATCTGCTGTCGTTTCGTAATCGAACTACCTGTTTAAAATGTATTCATTGCTAAGCAATCTGTGGAATGATGGCTGATTATGGTGCGGTCAGAGAAAGCCGCAAGGAAGTTGTCTCGACAGTGCCGCTTTGTCTGCACTATAGCTAGCTGTTTGTAGCCCTGTGTTGCTGATATGATGTAGGCGACCCTGAGTGTTTGCTTTTGGTATTATGATTTTACGCCGGGTCTGCTCTCATTATTCTTCGTTCCATGAGTCACCATGGTGGTACGGCAATGAAGCGTGGGCTCAGACGGCTGATGTATTGCTGTTGGTGATGATTGTTTCGTTTTTTGCATTCCGCTTGAACATAGAGCGCTTCTCCAGCCTGGCAGTATCTTGCCCACACACTACAATGAATTTCTCTTCAAACAATTCGTTGATGCTCTGGCCGTCGCCCTTCCACATCGAGCAGGTTGGGTAGCAGTTTATTCCCTCTATTACACCATTTCACCTTTACGGTCTTGCTTCAACCTCACTTTTATCACCGTTTTCAACCCCCAATTCTTGGCCCTCTTCCACCTCACTTCCAAAAGCATTTGTCTTCTACTTTCGACACATGCAATCACAGGGCGTCGCTCTTGTTCATTCGACAAGTCCCTTTTCAGCAAGCTGCTGGCATTAGTACATCCATTCCTATTTGGAGTTCTCGATTCTCCTTATAACTGCCGGACTTCAGCGCGCGCACTTTATCGCAGGTTGACCAGCAGGCGACACTTACCTGAACATCATCATCATTATACACGTTAGCTGCAGGTGGTGTGTGCAGGTGTGCCGCAATACAAAAGACAAGAAAAGGAAAACAAACAGTGGCACGCCGGCTGAGTCCCCATTAACGGATGAACATTCTTCCGGAGAGCTGACAGCTGCCTATCGTGCCGTAAAGAGTCATATTATTCCTAAAAAGTGAGATCGTGGTTGGAGGGGGATGCTAAGCAGGAGGGGGATGGACAAACGAACTCACAACACAAACGCCATTGGGGCCGGCTCCAAGCCATATCAGCAAGTGTGTCCAACCAAACGTGTTCACCGTCCCTAGGACCCCAGCCAGGCAGTCGGGATGCACCAACCGACACCAACTTCGAAGTGAGGGTTTTCATCTCTCTCGACCAAGTCATCGCTTGGCCTCCCCTCCTCCTCTTCCAACCGCACCCACGACGCGCAAACAATGCACGTCGCGGAAGTCGGTATGCTGGCATGCGCAACACGTGGCCCAATCATCGGAGCCTGGTGCGTGATATAATGGTGCTGAACGGTTCACTCGCTCTTCCTGCACCAACTACGCGACATCGAACACGCTCATTGCTCACGCGGTGCTCCCACCAGACATGAGCTAAGCTGCGAAGGCAGCGATGATCGAATATGACGAGCCTCTTTATGTCTGTCGACCTGATGGGCCAGGTTTCACAGCCATATAGGAGAGTTGAACGGACGGCTGCGTTGTAAACTCTGCTCTTGAGGGCGAGAGTAGTGTCGCGTCTGCGCCACAGGTGGCGGAGATTGGCAAAAACACCTCTAGCTTTTGCTATGCGGTTCGTAACCTCATCTTCAATCCCACGGGTGCTAATATAGCTGCTCAGGTACTTGAATTCCTGAAGGACTTCTAGCACATCACCACCAAGCGTTAGCGCAGGGTTGGGTCCCTGTCAATCTTGGAGAAGTACTTTGCATTTCGATGGAACAAAGCATAGCCCAAAACGATTGAAAGCCAGTGCTAATCATTCCAGTGCTGCTTGACATGTTTGGAAGCTGTCACAGATTAAGGCAATATCGTCGGCATACTTTAAGTCAAGAAGTCGCTCACCAGGAAGCAGCTCCACACCTTTTAGGAGGTGTCCAGCGAACGCTGTTTCCATGACTTCCTCAATAGCGAAGTTAAAGAGGAAAGGTGACAGTGGGCAACGTTGGCTCACACCGCTGTGATACTGAAGTTTGAAGTGTGTTTCATCATTATACACATCAGCTAGAGGTGGGAAAAACACCTCCGCTATTGTGCCGCAATACATGAAGGAAATACATACATACATATAACACAATACACAAAGGAGAAGTAGATACAACAGTTGCATGCCAGCTGAGCTACCAGCAACGGATAGGCATCGTTCCGGTAAGCTTCCAGCTAGCTACTAGGCAAAAAGAAAAAAATATTATGTTTTACCCTAGGAAATGAGATCGTAGATGGATGGGGAGGCTAAAAGGGATGGGGTGGGACAAAGAAACTCACAGCATGAACGCCACTGAGGTCGGCTCCTTGCCATGTCAGCAAGTGTATCCAGCCAAACGTGTTCACCGTCTTTTGGACCCCAACCAGGGAGCCGTGAAGCTCCAACCGAGGCTAGCTCCGAGGTGAGGGACTTCATTCCCCTGGACCAAGTCATCGCTTGGCCACCTCTCCTCTTCTTCCACCCACATCCCCGGTGAGCAAACAACGCACGTCGAGGGAATCGGTGGTCTGGCATGCGTAATACGTGGCCGAGCCATCGGAGCCTGGTGCGGGCAATAATGGTGCTGAGCGGTTCAGATCCTTTTCCTGGGCCGTAAACAATGCGTCGAACACGCTCGTTACTCACGCGGTGTTCCCACAAGATGTGAGCCAAACTGCGAAGGCACCGATGGTCGAACGTAACTAGCCTCTTCATGTCCGCCGATCTTATGGGCCAGGTTTCGCAACCGTACAGTAAGGTCGAACGTACCGCTGCATTGTACACTCTACCCTTCAGGGCGAGAGTGATGTCGCGCCGCCGCCAAAGGTGGCGAAGGTTAACAAAAGCACTTCGAGCTTTCGCTATACGGTTCGTGATCTCATCTTCGATCCCAAGGGCGCTGATACAACTTCCCAGGTAATTGAATTTCTGAACGACTTCTAGCTGATCCCCACCAAGGGTCAGCGCAGGAGGCGATCCCTGCCAATCTTGGAGGAGCGCTTTGCACTTCGATGGTGCAAAGCAAAGCCCGAAGCGGCTGACAGCCAGTGCTAATCTGTCTAGCGCGGCTTGGCACGTCTGGGAGCTGTCACAGATGAGGGCAATGTCATCTGCATACTCCAAGTCAAGAAGTCGTTCTCCTGGGAGTAGCTCCACACCTCCCAAGTCATGTCTTGTAAATGCAATCTCCATGACTTCGTCCGTTACGAAGTTGAAGAGGAAAGGTGACAGCGGGCATCCTTGTCTCACACCGCTGAAGATATTAAAGGGTGGCGACAGCTTGCCGTAAGCCCTCACTCTGCCCGTGCTACGCGCATATAATGCTTGGATAATATTTACATATTTCTCGGGCACACCTTTCCTGAGTAGACAATTCCAAAGGGCACATCGATCAACCGAATCGAAGGCACCTTTGATGTCGAGGAACACGACTACGGTGGGCCGCCAAAATGTGTGGCGGTGCTCCAACAACTGACGCAAAGTGAAGATGTGGTCAATGCAGCCACGACCACGACGAAACCCGGCTTGCTCTTCACGAATCTGGCTTTCACGAGCGCCAGTCAGTCTGTGAAGAATTAT